CTTGCGCACCCTTTTCCTTTAAAGCTATCAAATTAGGGGTTTTTTTAAATGATGGGGTTTTTATAATCAAATTGATTTATGAAAAAAAAAATTCAACTTTTTCTGCTAGTTTTTGAGATATTTGAGTTCAAAAAAAAAAAATCCCATGGGGAAACATGAACTTAAAAATACCCCACAAAAAACCCCACAAAAATCCCATGGGGTTTATTTTTCACCCCATGGGGGAAATAACCCCACGAAAATCAATGTAGGTTTTTTAAACCCATATGTTGCTTATATTGTCATATGGGGTTTTTTCTCCCACGTTTCTTTATCATGGGGTTTTAAATCCCATGTATTGATATATTTACTGTAAGATAATTCCTAAAAACTTTTTTTCTTAGACTAATGGATCATTAGTATCTTCTCTGTTTCTCATTATATAAAAATGGATAGTTATAACAAATATCTATTATTTTTCAAATTTTCAAGTATTCATTCTTCAAATTTTTGCTTATGTAAAAGAAGATTTATATGAAAACAGGTTTCTAAGACAGTTGCCTCCCATAATGAAACATTCATCATAAAACTCTTCACAGATTATTTGATCGATGACAATTAATCTGAATATTTAAAAAAATTAAACAAGAAAATTTAATACCAACACAATATACACAATAGAAACCAATTCACAGTGTCCAAAGAGGGTATCTTTCCTTAACTAATATATATTCATATATGTTAGGTTTATATGATGTCTAGTTTGTGGATTTTTTTTAAATCTCCATTCCCCTTGCATTCACCACTAATAAGATTGGATTTATGTAATTCATGTGCAATATATCTACATATTTAATTAATGGAACTCATTCAGTTTGAAATAAATTATCCATAATCATTATTATCCTTTTACCCACCACAAATATTTAAAAATAATATCCGCTCCCCTTAGATCCACCACTTTTAAATTAAGATCATGTTCACACATGACATATAAGCAAAATGTTTGAAATAAATAAGCCATAATCATAAATCGTTAATATCCTTTGATCATTCACAAATATTTAAAAAAGATAAATATCCACCCCCTTGGATCCACCACTTATGAGTTTTGATATTGATCACACATGACATATAAGTTTAATGTTTGAAATCAATTAGCCTGAATCAGTAATGTCCTTTTACCCATCACAAATATTTAAAAATAATACCAACTTGCCTTGGATCAACCACTTTAAAATTAAGATCACGAGCTAAATGTTGGAAATAAATTAGACATGATCACAAATCATTTATATCCTTTAATCAATCACAAATAATTAAAAAGATAAATATCCACTCCCCTTGGATCCACCACTTGTAAGTTTAGATCTTGATCACACATGATATATTTAAGTTATATGTTTGAAATCAATTAACCATAATCATTATTATCCTTTGACCCATTTCTACAAATATCTATCTACTCCCCTTACATCCACCACAACTCTCATGGCTATCAAAACAATTAATATCCACTTGCCTTGGATCCACCTCTTCTTAGTTAAGATCATGATCACACACAGAAATATTAGCTAAACTTTGAAATAAATTTGCAGAAGTCATTAGTATCCTTTGATCCACCACAAGTATTTAAAAATTCAATACCAACTCCCCTTGGATCCACCAATCATAAATTTAGACTATGGTAATACATGACTTATAAGCTAAATGTTTGAAATCAATTAGCCAGAATCATAAAAAAAAGATGAGACAAATAATTCATGTCGATATGTCTTAAGTAATTGTGAAAAGCAATAAACAAAGGAAAATATTACAACCTACAGTATTCCCTTAGATCCGCCATAATGTCTTTAGATATTGATCACCAATCTGATTTATTCTTCTTTTTTTATCATTAGGTTAGGTATCCTTATTATTTTTATGAATGAATGAATATTATGAAAAATGAAATTAATTGCATCTCTATGCTACTCTGTCTGAATAAAAAAAGCTGAAATAACCACTTAATATCAGCCAAAAAAGCAGGTACAATGAATATGATGAAATAAGACGACATATACATTGTATACATGTACTACGCCTTTACGGTACATTATTTACTACTAGTAATTATGTTCCCCAAACGGAGTTTGGGAACATATTGTTTTTACTCTGTTTCTTATTAGGGTCTTCCGCTTCCTTCGGAAGACCCTACTGTTATTCTACTGTTTCTTATTATTTTTTTTTTTTCCCGCTCGACTTTTGACAGGCGATTTCTCAAAGACCTTTGGACTGATTTTTATGAAACTTTCAGGTTAGATACCTTGTAATTAAACCTATTAACACCTGTTTTCAATTTTTTTATGCATGCCTTTATTTGTGAGTTATTGCCCTTTAATTGAAAATTTTTGATGTCTCGTTTCCACTGAAAATCTCAATAATGACATAAGATATTTACACGAAAGTTAGAGAACTTGTAGCCAATACATTGTAGATGTGCACAACGATAAAATTATATAGCAGATTTCTTAAAGTTTGGAAGCTATAAAACGGCAAATTTTAGTAATTTTTTTTCTTTGAATTTTTGCTACTTTTTGTGTAATAACTTTTAAACCAAGAATAATTTGGTAAGAAGTATAATACAAAAGTTGTGGGTAATTACGAGAGCTTTCATATTTGATTAACGAAAAGGGGCTGGCCCCTATAATTAGGGGCTAATGGCTCATACACGTTTTTTTTCTGATAGCTAAAAATATTGGTATATTATGAAAAAGTTTGACTGAAATAATTTCGAACTTATAAAATCTTGTCATTTTTTTTTTTTTTTTTTTTTTTCATAAATTTTATTGTTGAAAACATATAACAAAGTAATTTTGGAGAAACCTTTCAGGAACAAATAACCCTCACTATCCAGCCAGGGGCCTAGATTGGATAGCAAAATTATGTTTATGATAAATGTAACAATTGAGTATATAATCATGTTGTATATTAACAAAAATACTTATAGATATTTATACGATGTTTACCTTTATGTTGCTAGGGGAACACACAATAATTTTAACACATTAGCAACTTGTATAGACAGATATTGAGTCTAAGTTTAGAGCGCTTAAAGCCTCATGGGTATGTAGATTGAGAGAAACAGATCACTGTATTTAGCTACATAAATAGTTATTGTATTCCAATAAACATTAATATCGACTATGTGATTAACACCACGGAAAATAAAATAGAAAATTTTGAAATGATACGAAAGATGCCTCTTTTCTATAAACAAGTATTTACATGCTTTTGCATGCAAACAATTACACGATAACCTCAGTGTTAACTTTTTCTTAAACAACCGATATGGTCAAATTTAAGATACTCATATGAAGGAAAAACGATTTACTTTAAAAATTGGCTCAAAAGCAGTATATTGTTTGTTAAAGATCTATTTTCCGAGAATGGTCTCAAATCACCCGATGAAATGACAGAGATTTTGATAAATAAGAGTAATTGGTTATGTGAATATAAAATCATTTTTGTCGATCTTTAAAAAGTATGAAAAAAGATATGATTTCTCTCTGTACAAACATCTAAAGGAAGTGTCATTAAATACTGTATGTTTTAATAAAAATTCAACAAAATTCTTTTATAATGAATTTTTAAAAAGAAAATTTCAAGCTCCGCTTGTGCAAGCAATTTTTTTATTCTAAAGAATTTAATATACCTAAGAGAGACTGGGAAAAAATTTATATAAATAAAATAGAGTTATTAAAAGATAAACAAGTTGCGGAATTCAACTATAAGTTATTAAATAATATTTTGTCTAACAATTATTTTGCAAGTAAATTAAATAAAAACTCTAATTACTCATGTAATATATGTGTGAGATGTGAAAATTCAAAGCATCTCATTTTTGATTGTACAAATGTACGAGAAATCTGGGATATAGTCAGCAATTTCTTAGGTTTTGATGTAAAATGGAAACATATAATTTTTGGTTTTTATAGTGATAGAAATGAAACCACTGTCATGTATAATTTACTGTTGTCATTTGTAGCTTTTATGATATACAAATATAAAATGTATTGTCGAGTAGAAAATATTGATGAAACAGCTGTAGGGTTATTAGCTTATTTAAAATCTTGTATTTTGAATTATTCTGAAATTTTACATACTATGGGAGATTCAAAATACGCTTCATTTTTTAAAAATCTATTGAAAAAAATGTAATTGCTTAATATGTTTTGAGGGGGACCAGGCCCTCAGGAAAAATGCAAGAAGGGGGGTAAAATAAGGGACTCTGAGATGATGAAAAGCTTACCTCCCTTCTAGATGTTATAATTAAAACTATTACAGAAATATGTTGCAAACTAATATAATATTGTAAAATACCACTACATTTTCTTTAATTATAAAATTTGTAAGTCTTAAAATTTTTTTTTTTTCCTTAAAATATTTAATATTTCCTCAAAGAGGCATTAAATATGTAATCATTGAACTTATCTATGTATATATTTGTAACCTAAGATACAATCGAAATCTTGTCATTTGATATAAAAAGAAATAAACTTCCAGCTATATTTAATTGTTTTTTTATAAAACAAGTACATGTATGTGAGAAACCTTTCAGGAACAAGTTATCTACTATAGCCAGCCAAGCCTTTACTGCATACATGTGCACATTTTTAGTTGATGCATCTAAAAGATATTGTTTTGATTCGGTGTTTCTTTGTTTTCTTTTTATTCAAATAATTTTAAAATGTGATGATGTACACAACAATAATTAGTACCTAGTTTAGAGGATTTTTTCGTGCTTGTTTGTAAACAACGCGCGGCATTGTGGGAAATAGGAAGGTACTAAAGACGCGATGTACTAAACACTGATTTGACCTGATTCAAATTTGTCTGTAACTGTTCCAAACAATTGAATTTTTGTATAGCATATGCCTCAAAGTCATAAAGTCTGTACATAAGTAATTTAAAATACTCAATATCACCATTTAATTAAAAATTAAAACGTCAGGTAAATATCAGGTCTCTAGTATATCCCGTTTTTAGTGTGCCCCTTCGAGTCGACGTTGGACACATGTTTACAAACTGAAAATAGAATGATTTGTGAAGTTGAACATTTTCTGACAAAGAATCCGTTTGTAGACATGTACACTCATTTAATCTGCAGCTACGAAGTACTTTTTCACTTCTCTGGAACATTATTCTAAGCAGAATTATCCCGATTCATATATTCTAAGAATCTTGTGTGAATTGTTTACGAGGAAATTCTGACTGTCACATTAACAAGGATGAACACTCTTGACTCTGCTTCGGATTCGGATCATCATATCATTCCCCAGTGATAATTGTATCGAGTGATGAAAGAGCTGACGGCGACATTTTAATGTATGATTGGCTTGGACCATTGGAATGAAGGTTAGAATATTTTTATTACTTAAAATTTACACTACTGATCAGGTCCAGCACAATACACCGATAAAGGTATATAGCTTGATAAAGCTATATAGCTTGATCAAGGTATTTAAAATACCTTGATCAAGGTATTTTATGTAATGAAAATTCAAAAAAATTCTTTAAAAATTAAATACTGAAAGTCGAATTCTGAGTATTTGTCAGGGTGTCTACACGTGCATGAAAATCACTCTGGTATCAAAAAGAAAGCATAAAATAATGTCTCCTCTCACGACACGTTTTTATACTGATTTGTTTGTGTTTGAGTACTTTACATGCATGGGTGAATTTACTGACAACAACTCAGAACTCGACTTTCAGTAATTAATTTTTAAAGAATATTTTTGAATTTTCATCACATAAAATACCTTGATCAAGGTATTTTAAATACCTTGATAAAGCTATATAGCTTTATCAAGCTATATACCTTTATCTGGGTATTGTGCTGGACCTGATGACAGTGACATACATTGATGTTATTAGAAATACACAGACACACCGATATATTATCTGTTTAACAGTTCAGACGCTCTCTGTTTACCTTGTAAATCCCCACAGTTTTATATTTTATTTTTTTTTAAATTTGAGGATGTAATTTCAACAGTCCTACTATCTATCATAGTGATCATACTCTATAATTCAAACTGCACTTAATGTTACAGAATATATTCAACTAATTATATATTGACAGTGTGACTTTAAGGGTGAGGGCAGATACTTATTTAGTTTTAATTTAGATTGTGCTTGTCAAGCCGCATTTGACATTTGGTGCATCCATGCTCAGTGTTCACACTGAGAGTTTATTCAAATGTTTAATTCGAAAGAATTCACTGCTCGTTAAATTAGTTATTACTTCCCATTAGCTCCATGTGAACATGAGTAAGACTAGCTAATTCAAATTAAATAGAAATGAATTTTGAATGTAGCTTAAACATAAAGAAGCTATGCACTGTGGGTAGACAACGGTACACGGTACCAGTACCGTACCGAATAGTTACTGTGTCATTTCATACCGGTACTGATAACGGTATTTCTTTATCTTTAAAACATTGTTATACATTACAAATTATTTTTTGTCAAGATTCCAGACTCGCCAAAATGGAATTCTCCGTGCATTGAAAGGGTAGGCTAATTAACGAAATCAGTACTAAGTAAGATACTTCCTTTCTACAGCCGATATTCGAGGGAAACCAATGCGTATTAAAAATATTTAAATTAATCTTGTTTCAGTTTTATTAATAGAAACTGATAGAAATTGTCAATTAAAAAGGCAAAACGTTGCGGATTTGTGATGTCATTTCTCTTCATTTTTCATGTTTCGTCGTTTAGTGCTACCAAGCAAAATGGCGACCGGATGAGACGATCAGCTGTAATTTAGCAGAGAATTAGACGGCGGTGTTTTTAATCTTATTTTTTATTTTATAGAGATTCAGAATAATTTGTTTAGTTGATTATTTAATAAAAGGTTGAATTATAGAAATAGAATATATTTAACACATTTTAGATTATAATATTGAAAGTTTGGTTATAAGCAGTGATAATTGAAAGCACATTTGTTATTAAAATAAACCCGGATTCTCATACATCAAGGTATAGTACCGTATCGTCAAAAATACTGTATCGTTTCAAAAATATCGGTATGGTAATACCGTTTCATCCTTAACGGTATCCAACCCTAACTGTGGGTCCAAAGTATACTGCGGAAAAATTGTGTGGAGCAATGTGCAAGTCACAATCTTCTTTTGCCAAGGTCTTATCATAAGAGCTCGCATTATGGGCTGCTGTCTGGACTCGCTATAAATAGATGTTCTCAAAAAGTCTTAATTATTTGATATCATACTTTACTGACAAAAAAGGACAAATATTGCTCTGTTAAATTGCAAAAGAAATTTGTTTCAAAAAATTGTAATAATAGAAAGTTTGCTTTTTTGTTTGATAAGACTGCTGTAATGGTTTAATGTTTGTTTATTTGCCTTAATCATACATTTTTCAGTCATTTCATGGTGCCACCACTTGGGATGGTATTAGCTGCAAATATAGACTTGTACTCAGCACTTATTGCCTTTAAGAAGTATGAGATCCATTTTGTGCTAACACCTACCGTGACACAGAATCTTGGTTTATGCAGTCTCATAGGAGTAACCTGTCTAAAGCATTTAGCAATGGGATTGGAACCTGCGACGTAAGGTTCAGCTTCTTATTGATACTTTGATTTATAATATTTATTTGAGAATTTCACTCATTCACATACTTAGAGATGTTGATATATATTGAATAGCATCAATTTAGACCTTTAATTAGCTAAGTAAACATGTACTGTGAGGTTTTTAAGGTCTCATTCATTTTATATGCCAGATGCATGTTAAGGAACATTACTGCATAAATGTTTTTGTCTTAAATTTGAAGCTTTTTACTAATATAGAGATATGTTAGTTTTAAACCTCTTCAAATTAGGGTAGACCTTTACTTTAAACTCAGCAATGTGAGTGTGTTGTGTGAACTTGTGTTAGCGAGACAGTGTGTTGTATGAATTTGTGTTAGCAAGGCAGTGTGTTTTGTGAACTTAATTGTGTTAGCCTGACAGTGGGTTGTGTGAATTCTTGTTAGCTTGACAATGTGTTGCGTAAACTCGTGTTAGCGGGACAGCGTGTTGTGTGAAATCGTATATAAAGTGTAAGTGTGACAGTGTGTTGTGTAAACTTGTGTTAGCTAGACAGAGTGTTGATTGAAATCGAATTAGCGAGACTTCGTGTTGTGTAAACTCGTGTTAGTGAGACTGCGTGTTGTGTAAACTCGTGTTAGCGAGACTGTGTGTTGTGTAAACTCATGTAAGCGAGACAGCGTGTTGTGTATTCTTATTAACGAGACAGCATGTTGTGTGAATTGTGTTAGCGTGACAGTGTGTTGTGTGAACTTGTTATCCTGAAAATTTGTCGTGTGAACTGGTGTTAGAGAGATAGTGTGTTGTGTGAACTCAGTGTTAGCAAGATTGCATATTGTGTGAACTCGTGTTAGCCAGAATGGTGTTATGTGAACTCGTGTTAGCGATATTGCATGTTTTTTGAATTTGTGTTAGCGTGACAGTGTGTTGTGTGATCATGGTATTAGCCTGACAGTGTGTTGTGTGAAATGGTATTAGGATGACAGTGTGTTGTGTGAAATGGTATTAGGATGACAGTGTGTTATCGCAACAGCGTTTGGTGCGAACTTGTGTTAGTGAATAGTGAGACAGCCTGTTTTAAGAATTCGTGTTAGTGTGACAGTGTGCTGTGTGAACTCGTGTTAGCCTGACAGTGTGTTGTGTGAAATGGTATTAGAATGACAGTGTGTTGTGTGAAATGGTATTAGGATGACAGTGTGTTATCGCAACAGCATTTGGTGCGAACTTGTGTTAGTGAATAGTGAGACAGCCTGTTTTGTGACTTTGTGTTAGCGTGACAGTGTATTGTGTAAACTTGTGTTAGCGTGTTGTGTAAACACAGTGTAGTGTGTGTAAACGCGTGTTAGTGAGACTGCGTGTTGTGTAAACTCATGTTTGTGTGACAGTGTGTTGTGTGAATTCATGTTAGCGTGACAGTGTGTTGTGTGTACTTGTGTTAGCTAAACAGTGTGTTGTATGTAAAACACGTTAGTACGAACACGGATATAGCGAGACTGCGTGTTGTGTAAAACTTGTGTTAGCGAGACAGCATGTTGTTTGAACTTGTGTTAGCGAGACAGTGTGTTTGTGAATTCGTGTTAGCATGATAGTGTGTTGTGTGAACTCGTGTTAGCCTTATATTTTGTTGTGTGAAATTGTATTAGCATGACAGTGTGTTGTGTGTTAGTGTGACAGCGTGTGGTGCGAACTTGTGTTAGTGCGAAAGTGTTTTTCAGTGTTGTGATGGCGAGCTGTGTGATAGCTTAATGGCGTCTTTTGTGTCGGTAAGATGGCACGCTTTTATGAAAGTGCTATTGAGCTTTAGCAAGTGGCCCTATCTGGACACGCCTTATTATAATTGATCAGTTCTCATATATACAGTGAATTACCGGTATTATTGTCACCATGAAATCAGCATTTACAGTTGCAATTACCTAGTTAGTAATCATAAGATATTGGTTTGTCAGTTTTAAAATTATGGTGTTCCAATGATGTGAAGTTGCAGTGTGTTAGCATGTTAATTTCAACAGACTGCCACTCCAATGCAGCTTTAAACAACACGCTGCTGTGTTTACACAAAACAAAATATCATGCAAACACAACTTTAAACAATCTGTTGAGTGTTAGCTTCACTGCATGTTGGATTCAGTGTGCTGGCATATTATCACTGACGTACATGCTAGCACATTGTCACCTCGTGCTAGTATGTTGTCATAAATACTCTAGCACATTATCCTAAACCCACTAGTGCATGATTACTTTGCACTTGTATGTTGTCTTATTAGGGAATAGCATAAATGACTGCCTTAATTGGTGTAAACTTCTTTTAATTGATGAAAGAGTACATTAAAATTTACAAATTATACACAGAAAATGTGACAATATCTTATCTCTCAATTTGATAATCTAATTTATAATCTCATGAATTGCACTTTTTATTAGTAAAAGAATTATAAATTAAAAAATTTCAATTTCTTTTGGATAGGTGTGACTCATCTGAATACTGAATTTTGATACCAAGCATGACCATGATTTGCCAGAAGATCATCTGTTTGGATGTGACATGGAATAAACAGCATAGTGAAAATAAGTCAAGTTTTGGTTTGTGAAGACAATTTTTAAACACACTGTGTATCATTTTTAAATTTTGATTTGACAACATAAATCCACAAATATGAACATATCAATTGCTCTCAGTTTTTCAAGTGAAATAGTTTTTGTAACAGAAATACATGTACCAGTAATTACATTGGAATAAATGTTATTTTTAAATATAATAATATTTTGTTTGTGTAGCATGTTGACCTCTTTATTAAGGTCTTCCCTTTCAAAGTTTAGACTTACTTATTCTAATGATTAAGATAGATCCTCTGTCTTCAGCAGGAATATAAGATCTTGTAATACATGTATGTGTATTTTTTACAGTATAATGTAAAAAAAATTGTTATTTTGGCACATACAACTAATTAAAGGCATAAACATGTGTATGATTCCAAGGAATTCAGTACATAGGGCATGTACATGTAGTTTTCTAAAACAAGATTGAAGAGATGTCCAGTCGCATTTCAATGTCAACTGCAAAACTGTGCCTGTTGCATACTTATTAGCCCATCTGAGCTAAAGGAACCAGTAAATTTTTTTAAAAACATAATTTTATATATATCATCATTGTCTAAAATTTCACAATATCATTTTCCAGAACCAAAGTGAAATGTACAGAGATTTGTTACCTAATTCGTATAATTTTCTTATGCAGGGCAATACTTGAAAGAGATTTGTTTCTTTAATGCTGTAAATGTATTATATTTCTTGTACAATATTTTGTTTTTTTTGACGAATAAGTTAGGGAATTCTTAAATATGTTTATGTACAAGTAATTTAGCTTTGTACTTGATTCAGTGATTGCTGTAATTTCGCCAAAGCCGGTAAAAAAGAATACACAGCCATATTTATGTATACAATAAATTGCGCTTTGAACTTTTGGTATGCCACCAGTTGCTAGTTGCATGCGAAGCATACGTAAAAAATGTGCATTTAATATATTTTATTTCCAAATACAAATCGATTTACATATATATTCTGAAATATTTCTTTTTTTTTTTAAAATATAACAATGAAGAGAATTAAATTTGATTAACTAAATCGTATCGGATAATTTCGTAAGCTATATAGTGTTATAGTTTTTGCCACAATTGATCAAAATAAGTTGTATGTCACATTTGGAATCTGAAACATGAATAAAAGAATGGTGATTTTTCATTGACTTAAACCAGTCTATTACGAAGGAATTTTGTGCGTTTCAATTTTATCAAGTCAAGTTTAAGGTATTAAAATTCTTGACATGGAAACTGTATACCCAGTAAGTTAAATGTCCATTAATATGTTTTTCATATTATTTCGACACATTGGATTTTTGTTTTGTTTCGTTTGTTTTTTTTGAGTTTTCTTTTTTGATTTCTCTTTTCTCCTTTTATTCTTTGATTCCACATATGAGACTCATAGTCAACAGAGATGGCTGGTTATGCTGTTATCTTGATTTATGCATCTTTGGCGTTGACTTTGGGATTGAAAATATATCGTCGATTTCCGCCGTCCAGTTCCAAGTGCTTGCATTGTTGTTTCACTTGTGCCTGAAAGTTCCAGGGCACCATTTCCAAAGATTAAAAGAGCCAACATCTGCTGGTGGTATCTGGGCATCCAGAGAGGCCATATCATCGGGTATTAGACCTGGTGTACCTGTTCGTTCCATGTTTGGTTGAGCTGTCGTGGTCCTCTACAAGATCTGTAGTAGTTAATGAACGGCTGTTTCGGCGAAAGGTCAAAGACAAATTTGGTTTGAGGAAAGGGCAACTTGTTTGCTGCCGGTTTTCAATGGGTAGGTCAAATGCCTCTGATGGTAAATAATTTGCATAATCTGGCAATGCGCTGACGTTCATTGGCCAGATACCAGTTGCACGGAACCCACTTTTGATTTTGGGGTGCTTGATGCCTCCCAAGCTGATTTGAAAATTTTGGCCAAGTAGACTTATTGATCTCGTGGTTAGGGTGATTTTTTGTGTGTAAGCTCGACCATACGCCTTGCTTCAAAGATGCCTTGTCAAGGGGCTGCAGATGATGGGAGGTATTGGAGGCAACGCCATAATTAATATGTTCTCGGAAATGGCTGCCTCCAAAAGACCCAATACCTCATGAGAACTATGAGAATCTAAAACAAGAAGTTGTGGTTGCGGGGCCCACAGTTCTGAAGGAAAACGGATTTGAACCAAAAAGCAAATCACACATCCAAGCCTTTTCTTGGTAAGTCCATATCGTTTCCGGAGGAGCATCAATGGTCGCAAATGATTCTACACATCGCGGGGTTTTCCCTTTGACAATGCACATCGGTGGCATTTTGTCACCAGAGGCATTGACACAAGCAAGTATTGTGATGCTTTGTCGCGATGTGGACGTTTTTCCCGGCAAAACTTGACACCACGTCTAGATGTACAGCAGCAGGGTTATGACTGAATTGTTTGCAAGTCTCATCCGCATTCCAAAATCTGAAGGAGCTAATTTATTTTGTTTGATTATGATGTGCAGATCTTTAAAATACTTCTGCACAATTTGCTTTGTTCAGCATCCTTGAACGGGTTTACTTATTGTTCTGGTCTTCGAATCACAATCTCTGGGTGTATATACTTAAATGCTCTCCACCAGTCATCTCCAGGGACCCCATTCTTAAAGGCATCAAACGCGCAACTTTAATAATAAGTTGCTTTTTTGTTACCCCAAAGCCCCGTTGTGCTGCAGCCAAAATTTTTTCAACAATTGAGTTTTCAACTTGGATAGGTATTGTGGATTTTCTACCAGCTTTTTTACCTATTTGACTTTTTCCCGTTACGTGGTCAACTATGGTTGTTTTGGGTACAATGTAAGTTTTTGACACACCATAGCTCACGCTTTTGTTTTAACAGCATTAACTGCACTTTGAAGATTTTCTATTTATATTTAACATATATGTTTGCCCTTTCTTTGGCATCTAAATAAAAAAAAATTTTTTATTAAAAAAATTATAAATAACCAACTCACACATATTTATTTTAGTTCGTTGGACATCTGATGAAAAAAATAGGAGCAGGCTACGATTAATTAATTACATTATTTCTTTCCTGTAAACTCACTTTTCAGGCAGAACAAGAAAAAAATTGAGTGGATATTTATATTTTTTCTATTTCTCTGATTTTTAAAGTAAACAAGTTTAAAATACGAAAAAAAAAGAACGGAAAAAAGAATAAATATATTATTATATAGCTCAGAGATTCCCAGGTGCAGGGAATTAAAATTATTTTGTTTAGAGTTATTAATACAGCCAGCGGGTCCAACGATCAAAAATTAAATTGGCGTGGCCATGACAAGTAAATATATAATAGAACCGTGTATATTGAGCAGAAAAAAATCTGTACGTTACACTACAATATTTTCTAAAGTGATATGCGATATATTTGATTCTTTAAAAACATATTTCAAAAAACTATTGTAAATTAACTCAGTGTTTTTTTTTCATCAATTTCAAAGTTCCTGTCTCGTTGTCAATATAAATATACATAAATTTAAAACTTTTAACATTTGTAAAACCATGTTAAAATGGTCATTACATGTTTCTATTATTTATGATAAGTTTTAATTAACACAGTTTAATAAATATGATTGAAAACTCCAACTTTTTTTTTTACAGAATTACAACTATTTAAGAAAAACTGTCGAAAAGTTTTGGAATTTTTTTATTGAAAGGATATTTGATTGAATTTCCTACGTATCGTTATATCAATATATTGACACAGTCCTAATAAACAGACAATTAAATAAAACAAAATAAGTTTTATACTTCCAAAAAGATTTAATATTGACTCCAAATATGAATAATTTTACAAAGAAAACATCTTAATTTCTTCTCTGTAGTATTCTATGGCACTGCGGTCCTTTTCTAAAGGGCATGCCTTACAAAGCGAACCAGCAATAAAGACAATGCTAGTATCTCCTGTTTCTAGTTTTGGTTTTTCTAGACAAAAATTTCATATAAATATTTGCAATGTGTGTACAAGAGGACAGCTTAATTAAAAGAATGGCAAGGTCCCAAAGACATTCGTGATCAAAAAGTACTTCGTTTTCAAGGTAACCCATTACTTCGTTTCTCACTAAACATTTCAAAAGAGAGCTATCACTCCTTTGCAGTCCTAACTCCCGATTGTAAAACAGCTTGGTCAAATTATGAGTCATGCTGAAAATAATGAAATTCTTGAGTTGTTTAAAAAACAATAAATACGCTACATATATGATTTAGCCTAGTTATTATTAGGGTCTTCCGCTTCCTTCGGAAGACCCTACTGTTATTCTATTGTTTCTTATTATTCTTTTTTTTTTTTCCCGCTCGACTTTTGACAGGCGATTTCTCAAAGACCTTTGGACTGATCGTTATGAAACTTTCAGGATAGATACCTTGTAGTTAAACCTATTTAAACCTGTCTTCAATTTTTTTATGCATGCCTTTATTTGTGAGTTATTGCCCTTTAATTGAAAATTTTTGATGTCTCGTTTCCACTGAAAATCTCAAAAATGACATAAGATATTTACACGAAAGTTGGAGAACTTGTAGCCAATACATTGTAGATGTGCACAACGATAAAATTATATAGCTGATTTCATAAAGTTTGGAAGCTATAAAACGGCAAATTTTAGTAATTTTTTTTCTTTGAATTTTTGCTACTTTTTGTGTAATAACTTTTAAACCGAGAATAATTTGGTAAGAAATATATCACAAAAGTTGTGTGTAATTACGAGAGCTTTCATATTTGATTAACGAAAAGGGGCTGGCCCCTATAATTAAGGGTTAATAGCTCATACACGTTTTTTTCTGATAGCTAAAAATATTGGTATATTATGAAAAAGTTTGACTGAAATAATTTCGAACTTATAAAATCTTGTCATTTGATATAAAAAGAAATAAACTTCAAGCTATATTTAATTGTTTTTTTTATAAAACAAGTACATGTATGTGAGAAACCTTTCAGGAACAAGTTGTCTTCTATAGCCAGCCAAGCCTTTACTGCATACATGTGCACATTTTTAGTTGATGCATCTAAAAGATATAGTTTTGATTCGGTGTTTCTTTGTTTTCTTTTTATTCAAATAATTTTAAAATGTGATGATGTACACAACAATAATTAGTACAGGTCTAGTTTAGAGGATTTTTTCGCGCTTGTTTGTAAACAACGCGCGGCATTGTGGGAAATAGGAAGGTACTAAAGACGCGATGTACTAAACACTGATTTGACCTGATTCAAATTTGTCTGTAAATGTTCCAAACAATTGAATTTTTGTATAGCATATGCCTCGAAGTCATAAAGTCTGTACATAAGTAATTTAAAATACTCAATATTACCATTTAATTAAAAATTAAAACGTCAGGTAAATATCAGGTCTCTAGTATATCCCGTTTTTAGTGTGCCCCTTCGAGTCGACGTCGGACACATGTTTGCCATGGTTTACAAACTGAAAATAGAATGATTTGTGAAGTTGAACATTTTCTCACAAAGAATCCGTTTGTAGACATGCACACTCATTTAATCTGCAGCTACGAAGTACTTTGTCACTTCTCTGGAACATTATTCTAAGCAGAATTATGCCGATTCATATATTCTAAGAATCTTGTGTGAATTGTTTACGAGGAAATTCTGACTGTCACATTAACAAGGATGAACACTCTTGACTCTGCTTCCGATTCCCCAGTGATAATTGTATCGTGTGATGAAAGAGCTGACGGCGACATTTTAATGTATGATTGGCTTGGACCATTGGAATGAAGGTTAGAATATTTTTATTATTAAAATTTACACTACTGATTACATGACAGAGACATACATTGATGTTATTAGAAATACACAGACACACCGATATATTATCTGTTTTACAGTTCAGACGCTCTCTGTTTACCTTGTAAATCCCCACAGCTTTATATTTTATTTTTTTTAAATTTGAGGATGTAATTTCAACAGTCCTACTATCTATCATAGTGATCATACTCTATAATTCAAACTGCACTTAATGTTACAGAATATATTCAACTAATTATATATTGACAGTGTGACTGTAAGGGTGAGGCAGATACTTATTTAGTTTTAATTTAGATTGTGCTTGTCAAGCCGCATTTGACATTTGGTGCATCCATGCACAGTGTTCACACTGAGAGTTTATTCAAATGTTTAATTCGAATGAATTCACTGCTGTTACTTAAATTACTTCCCATTAGCTCCATGTGAACATGAGTAAGGATAGCTAATTCAAATTAAATAGAAATGAATTTTGAATGTAGCTTAAACATGTTAAAGAAGCTAAGCACTGTGGGTCCAAAGTATACTGCGGAAAAATTGTGTGGAGCAATGTGCAAGTCACAATCTTCTTTTGCCAAGGTCTTATCATAAGAGCTCGCATTATGGGCAGGGATTTGTGCTGCTGTCTGGACTCGCTATAAATAGATGTGTTCAAAAAGTCTTAATTATTTAATATCATACTTTACTGACAAAAAAGGACAAATATTGCTCAGTTAAATTGCGAAAGAAATTTGTTTAAAAAAATTGTAATAATAGAAAGTTTGCTTTTTTGTTTGATAAGACTGCTGTAATGGTTTAATGTTTGTTTATTTGCCTTAATCATACATTTTTCAGTCATTTCATGGTGCCACCACTTGGGATGGTATTAGCTGCAAATATAGACTTGTACTCAGCACTTATTGCCTTTAAGAAGTATGAGATCCATTTTGTGCTAACACCTACCGTGACACAGAATCTTGGTTTATGCAGTCTCATAGGAGTAACCTGTCTAAAGCATTTAGCAATGGGATTGGAACCTGCGACGTAAGGTTCAGCTTCTTATTGATACTTTGATTTATAATATTTATTTGAGAATTTCACTCATTCACATACTTAGAGATGTTGATATATATTGTTGAATAGCATCAATTTAGACCTTTAATTAGCTAAGTAAACATGTACTGTGAGGTTTTTAAGGTCTCATTCATTTTATATGCCAGATGCATGTTAAGGAACATTACTGCATAAATGTTTTTGTCTTAAATTTGAAGCTCTTTACTAATATAGAGATATGTTAGTGTTAAACCTCTTCAAATTAGGGTAGACCTTTACTTTAAACTCAGCAATGTGAGTGTGTTGTGTGAACTTGTGTTAGCGAGACAGTGTGTTGTATGAATTTGTGTTAGCAAGGCAGTGTGTTTTGCACATTGAACTTAATTGTGTTAGCCTGACAGTGGGTTGTGTGAATTCTTGTTAGTGTGTTGTGTGCTTGACGATGTGTTGTGTAAACTCGTGTTAGCGGGACAGCGTGTTGTGTGAAATTGTGTATAAAGTGTAAGTGTGACAGTGTGTTGTGTAAACTCGTGTTAGCTAGACAGAGTGTTGATTGAACTCGTATTAGCGAGACTTTGTGTTGTGTAAACTCGTGTTAGTGAGACTGCGTGTTGTGTAAACTCGTGTTAGCGAGACTGCGTGTTGTGTAAACTCATGTTAGAGAGACAGCGTGTTGTGTGAACTCTTATTAACGAGACAGCATGTTGTGTGAATTCGTGTTAGCGTGACAGTGTGTTGTGTGAACTTGTTATCCTGAAAATTTGTCGTGTGAACTGGTGTTAGAGAGATAGTGTGTTGTGTGAACTCGTGTTAGCGAGATTGCATATTGTGTGAACTCGTGTTAGCCAGACTGTGTGTTATGTGAACTCGTGTTAGGAGATATTGCATGTTTTTTGAATTTGTGTTAGCGTGACAGTGTGTTGTGTGAACTCGTGTTAGCCTGACAGTGTGTTGTGTGAAATGGTATTAGGATGACAGTGTGTTGTGTGAAATGGTATTAGGATGACAGTGTGTTATCGCAACAGCGTTTGGTGCGAACTTGTGTTAGTGAATAGTGAGACAGCCTGTTTTGTGAATTTGTGTTAGCGTGACAGTGTGTTGTGTGAACTTGTGTTAGCCTGACAGTGTGTTGTGTGAAATGGTATTAGAATGACAGTGTGTTGTGTGAAATGGTATTAGGATGACAGTGTGTTATCGCAACAGCATTTGGTGCGAACTTGTGTTAGTGAATAGTGAGACAGCCTGTTTTGTGACTTTGTGTTAGCGTGACAGTGTATTGTGTAAACTCGTGTTAGCGTGACAGTGTATTGTGTAAATTTCATGTTAGTGAGACTGCGTGTTGTGTAAACTCATGTTAGCGTGACAGTGTGTTGTGTGAATTCATCTAAGCGTGACAGTGTGTTGCGTGAACTTGTGTTAGCTAGACAGTGTGTTGTATGAACTCGTATTAGCGAGACTGCGTGTTGTGTAAAACTTTTGTTAGCAAGACAGCGTGTTGTGTGATTTTGTGTTAGCGAGACAGCGTGTTTGTGAATTTGTGTTAGCATGATAGTGTGTTGTGTGAACTTGTGTTAGCCTGATATTTTGTTGTGTGAAATTGTATTAGCGTGACAGTGTGTTGTGTGTTAGTGTGACAGCGTGTGGTGCGAACTTGTGTTAGTGCGAAAGTGTTTTTCAGTGTTGTGATGGCGAGCTGTGTGATAGCCTAATGGCGTCTTTTGTGTCGGTAAGATGGCACGCTTTTATGAAAGTGCTATTGAGCTTTAGCAAGTGGCCCTATCTGGACACGCCTTATTATAATTGATCAGTTCTCAGATATACAGTGAATTACCGGTATTATTGTCACCATGAAATCAGCATTTACAGTTGCAATTACCTAGTTAGTAATCATAAGATATTGGTTTGCCAGTTTTAAAATTATGGTGTTCCAATGATGTGAAGTTGCAGTGTGTTAGCATGTTAATTTCAACAGACTGCCACTCCAATGCAGCTTTAAACAACACGCTGCTGTGTTTACACAAAACAAAATATCATGCAAACACAACTCTATACAATCTGTTGAGTGTTAGCTTGACTGCATGTTGGATTCAGTGTGCTGGCATATTATCACTGACGTACATGCTAGCACATTGTCACCTCGTGCTAGTATGTTGTCATAAATACTCTAGCACATTATCCTAAACCCGCTAGTGCATTATTACTTTGCACTTGTATGTTGTCTTATTAGGGGATAGCATAAATGACTGCCTTAATTGGTGTAAACTTCTTTTAATTGATGAAAGAGTACATTAAAATTTACAAATTATACACAGAAAATGTGACAATATCTTATCTCTCAATTTGATAATCTAATTTATAATCTCATGAATTGCACTTTTTATTAGTAAAAGAATTATAAATTAAAAAATTTCAATTTCTTTTGGATAGGTGTGACTCATCTGAATACTGAATTTTGATACCAAGCATGACCATGATTTGCCAGAAGATCATCTGTTTGGATGTGACATGGAATAAACAGCATAGTGAAAATGAGTCAAGTTTTGGTTTGTGAAGACAATTTTAAAACACACTGTGTATCAATTATAAATTTTGATTTGACAACATAAATCCACAAATATGAACATATCAATTGCTCTCAGTTTTTCAAGTGAAATAGTTTTTGTAACAGATATACATGTACCAGTAATTACATTGGAATAAATGTTATTTCTAAATATAATAATATTTTGTTTGTGTAGCATGTTGACCTCTTTATTAAGGTCTTCCCTTTCAAAGTTTAGACTTACTTATTCTAATGATTAAGATAGATCCTCTGTCTTCAGCAGGAATATAAGATCTTGTAATACATGTATGTGTATTTTTTACAGTATAATGTAAAAAAAATTGTTATTTTGGCACATACAACTAATTAAAGGCATAAACATGTGTATGATTCCAAGGAATTCAGTACATAGGGCATGTACATGTAGTTTTCTAAAACAAGATTGAAGAGATGTCCAGTCGCATTTCAATGTCAACTCCAAAACTGTGCCTGTTGCATACTTATTAGCCCATCTGAGCTAAAGGAACCAGTAAATTTTTTAAAAACATAATTTTATCCATTATCATCATTGTCTAAAATTTCACAATGTCATTTTCCAGAACCAAAGTAAAACTTGGCACAGAGCATCCTTAGTGTAGGGGATTCAAATTGTTCTTATGCAGGGCAATACCTTCAAAGAGATTTGTTTCTTTAATGCTGTAAATGTATTATATTTAGCTTGTACAATATTTGGTGGAAATTGACTTTTGAATAAGTTAGCGTAGATATTCTTATTTATGTTTATGTACAAGACTTTTAGCTTTGTACTTGATTTAGTGATGGCTGCATTCCGCCAAAGCCGCTAAAAAAGAATACACAGCCATATGTAATATGTTTACAATATACCTTTCAGAGAATTTTACACTCCTATTGAGGTACCACCAGTTGCTAGTGGAAAGCTGCAAATTCGAAACATACACAACACATTTCTGTGCGTTTATTATAAAAGTATTGTTCTACTTACAGATTGCAACTAATGAAGATTGTTCATCATTATTGTAAATGCATTTGGATTTTTTGAATTATTATATAATTTGTTTATTTTATTTACCTAGTTATATTGTATATTAAATGATTTTAAAGCCATTTTTAAGATGGTAATGTAGCAAAACACTTATGTTTCTGTAGTATGACACGTTTCACAAACATAATTGCAACAAACATGATATATCCGATATCAAAAGTCATAATATTGGAAGTTAAACTGTTGTGGATACGATTTCAAGAATGCTGTTAGAGAGAGTACCCTTTAGACCTCATGCTCACACCAAATTAAAGAATTCAAGTAAGGGTTTTTGAGACAAATCACATGAAAAAGAGAATGTTAGCAAAGTTGACAATCTAGACAGAAACATTTAATCTTTTGCTTATCGCTAGGAAGGAAGACCCACTCGTTGCTTTGCAACGAGCTTTGCTCTAGTTTTATTTTTTTTTTCCCGCTCGATTTTTGACAGGCGATTTCTCAAAGACCTTTGGACTGATTTTTATGAAACTTTCAGGTTAGATACCTTGTAATTAAACCTATTTACACCTGTTTTCAATTTTTTGATGCATGCCTTTAATTGTGAGTTATTGCCCTTTAATTGAAAATTTTGATGTCTCGTTTCCACTAAAAATCTCAAGAACGACGTAAGATATTTACACGAAAGTTGGAGAACTTGTAGCCAATACATTGTAGATGTGCAGAACGATAAAATTATAAGCTGATTTCCTAAAGTTTGGAAGCTATAAAACGGCAAATTTTAGTAATTTTTTTTCTTGAATTTTTGCTACTTTTTGTTTAATAACTTTTGAACCGAGAATAATTTGGTAAGAAATATATAACAAAAGTTGTGTGTAATTACGAGAGCTTTCATATTAGATTAATGAAAAGGGGCTGGCCCCTATAATTAGGGGTTAATAGCTCATACACGTTTTTTCTGATAGCTAAAAATATTGGTATATTATGAAAAAGTTTGACTGAAATAATTTCGAACTTATAAAATCTTGTCATTTGATATAAAAAGAAATAAACTTCCAGCTATATTTAATTGTTTTTTATATAAAACAAGTACATGTATGTGAGAAACCTTTCAGGAACAAGTTGTCTACTATAGCCAGCCAAGCCTTTACTGCATACATGTGCACATTTTTAGTTGATGCATCTAAAAGATATAGTTTTGATTCGGTGTTTCTTTGTTTTCTTTTTATTCAAATAATTTTAAAATGTGATGATGTACACAACAATAAATAGTACCTAGTTTAGAGGATTTTTTCGCGCTTGTTTGTAAACAACGCGCGGCATTGTGGGAAATAGGAAGGTACTAAAGACGCGATGTACTAAACACTGATTTGACCTGATTCAAATTTGTCTGTAAATGTTCCAAACAATTGAATTTTTGTATAGCATATGCCTCGAAGTCATAAAGTCTGTACATAAGTAATTTAAAATACTCAATATTACCATTTAATTAAAAATTAAAACGTCAGGTAAATATCAGGTCTCTAGTATATCCCGTTTTTAGTGTGCCCCTTCGAGTCGACGTCGGACACATGTTTGTCATGGTTTACAAACTGAAAATAGAATGATTTGTGAAGTTGAACATTTTCTCACAAAGAATCCGTTTGTAGACATGCACACTCATTTAATCTGGAGCTACGAAGTACTTTGTCACTTCTCTGGAACATTATTCTAAGCAGAATTATCCCGATTCATATATTCTAAGAATCTTGTGTGAATTGTTTACGAGGAAATTCTGACTGTCACATTAACAAGGATGAACACTCTTGACTCTGCTTCGGATTCCCCAGTGATAATTGTATCGAGTGATGAAAGAGCTGACGGCGACATTTTAATGTATGATTGGCTTGGACCATTGGAATGAAGGTTAGAATATTTTTATTACTTAAAATTTACACTACTGATTACATGACAGTGACATACATTGATGTTATTAGAAATACACAGACACACCGATATATTATTTGTTTTACAGTTCAGACGCTCTCTGTTTGCCTTGTAAATCCCCACAGCTTTATATTTTATTTTTTTTAAATTTGAGGATGTAATTTCAACAGTCCTACTATCTATCATAGTGATCATACTCTATAATTCAAACTGCACTTAATGTTACAGAATATATTCAACTAATTATATATTGACAGTGTGACTGTAAGGGTGAGGGCAGATACTTATTTAGTTTTAATTTAGATTGTGCTTGTCAAGCCGCATTTGACATTTGGTGCATCCATGCTCAGTGTTCACACTGAGAGTTTATTCAAATGTTTAATTCGAATGAATTCACTGCTCGTTAAATTACTTCCCATTAGCTCCATGTGAACATGAGTAAGGATAGCTAATTCAAATTAAATAGAAATGAATTTTGAATGTAGCTTAAACATGTTAAAGAAGCTAAGCACTGTGTGTCCAAAGTATACTGCGGAAAAATTGTGTGGAGCAATGTGCAAGTCACAATCTTCTTTTGCCAAGGTGTTATCATAAGAGCTCGCATTATGGGCAGGGATTTGTGCTGCTGTCTGGACTCGCTATAAATAGATGTTCTCAAAAAGTCTTAATTATTTAATATCATACTTTACTGACAAAAAAGGACAAATATTGCTCAGTTAAATTGCAAAAGAAATTTGTTTAAAAAAATTGTAATAATAGAAAGTTTGCTTTTTTGTTTGATAAGACTGCTGTAATGGTTTAATGTTTGTTTATTTGCCTTAATCATACATTTTTCAGTCATTTCATGGTGCCACCACTTGGGATGGTATTAGCTGCAAATATAGACTTGTACTCAGCACTTATTGCCTTTAAGAAGTATGAGATCCATTTTGTGCTAACACCTACCGTGACACAGAATCTTGGTTTATGCAGTCTCATAGGAGTAACCTGTCTAAAGCATTTAGCAATGGGATTGGAACCTGCGACGTAAGGTTCAGCTTCTTATTGATACTTTGATTTATAATATTTATTTGAGAATTTCACTCATTCACATACTTAGAGATGTTGATATATATTGTTGAATAGCATCAATTTAGACCTTTAATTAGCTAAGTAAACATGTACTGTGAGGTTTTTAAGGTCTCATTCATTTTATATGCCAGATGCATGTTAAGGAACATTACTGCATAAATGTTTTTGTCTTAAATTTGAAACTTTTTACTAATATAGAGATATGTTAGTTTTAAACCTCTTCAAATTAGGGTAGACCTTTACTTTAAACTCAGCAATGTGAGTGTGTTGTGTGAACTTGTGTTAGCGAGACAGTGTGTTGTATGAATTTGTGTTAGCAAGGCAGTGTGTTTTGTGAACTTAATTGTGTTAGCCTGACAGTGGGTTGTGTGAATTCTTGTTAGCTTGACAATGTGTTGCGTAAACTCTTGTTAGCGGGACAGCGTGTTGTGTAAAATCGTGTATAAAGTGTAAGTGTGACAGTGTGTTGTGTAAACTCGTGTTAGCTAGACAGAGTGTTGTGTGAACTCGTATTAGCGACAGCGTGTTGTGTGACGTGTATAAAGTGTCAGTGTGTTGTGTAAACTGGTGTTAGTGAGACTGCGTGTTGTGTAAACTCGTGTTAGCGAGACTGCGTGTTGTGTAAACTCATGTTAGCGAGACAGCGTGTTGTGTGTATTCTTATTAACGAGACAGCATGTTGTGTGAATTCGTGTTAGTGTGACAGTGTGTTGTGTGAACTTGTTATCCTGAAAATTTGTCGTGTGAACTGGTGTTAGAGAGATAGTGTGTTGTGTGAACTCGTGTTAGCAAGATTGCATATTTTGTGAACTCGTGTTAGCCAGACTGCGTGTTATGTGAACTCGTGTTAGTGATATTGCATGTTTTTTGAATTTGTGTTAGCGTGACAGTGTGTTGTGTGAACTCGTGTTAGCCTGACAGTGTGTTGTGTGAAATGGTATTAGGATGACAGTGTGTTGTGTGAAATGGTATTAGGATGACAGTGTGTTATCGCAACAGCGTTTGGTGTGAAGTTGTGTTAGTGAATAGTGAGACAGCCTGTTTTGAGAATTCGTGTTAGCGTGACAGTGTGTTGTGTGAACTCGTGTTAGCCTGACAGTGTGTTGTGTGAAATGGTATTAGAATGACAGTGTGTTGTTTGAAATGGTATTAGGATGACAGTGTGTTATCGCAACAGCATTTGGTGCGAACTTGTGTTAGTGAATAGTGAGACAGCCTGTTTTGTGACTTTGTGTTAGCGTGACAGTGTATTGTGTAAACGCGTGTTAGTGAGACTGCGTGTTGTGTAAACTCATGTTAGCGTGACAGTGTGTTGTGTGAATTCATCTAAGCGTGACAGTGTGTTGCGTGTACTTGTGTTAGCTAGACAGTGTGTTGTATGAACTCGTATTAGCGAGACTGCGTGTTGTTTAAAACTTGTGTTAGTGAGACAGCGTGTTGTGTGAACTTGTGTTAGCGAGACAGCGTGTTTGTGAATTCGTGTTAGCATGATAGTGTGTTGCGTGAACTCGTGTTAGCCTGATATTTTGTTGTGTGAAATTGTATAAACATGACAGTGTGTAGTGTGTTAGTGTGACAGCATGTGGTGCGAACTTGTGTTAGTGAGAAAGTGTTTTTCAGTGTTGTGATGGCGAGCTGTGTGATAGCCTAATGGCGTCTTTTGTGTCGGTAAGATGGCACGCTTTTATGAAAGTGCTATTGAGCTTTAGCAAGTGGCCCTATCTGGACACGCCTTATTATAATTGATCAGTTCTCAGATATACAGTGAATTACCGGTATTATTGTCACCATGAAATCAGCATTTACAGTTGCAATTACCTAGTTAGTAATCATAAGATATTGGTTTGTCAGTTTTAAAATTATGGTGTTCCAATGATGTGAAGTTGCAGTGTGTTAGCATGTTAATTTCAACAGACTGCCACTCCAATGCAGCTTTAAACAACACGCTGCTGTGTTAACACAAAACAAAATATCATGCAAACACAACTTTAAACAATCTGTTGAGTGTTAGCTTCACTGCATGTTGGATTCAGTGTGCTGGCATATTATCACTGACGTACATGCTAGCACATTGTCACCTCGTGCTAGTATGTTGTCATAAATACTCTAGCACATTATCCTAAACCCACTAGTGCATGATTACTTTGCACTTGTATGTTGTCTTATTAGGGAATAGCATAAATGACTGCCTTAATTGGTGTAAACTTCTTTTAATTGATGAAAGAGTACATTAAAATTTACAAATTATACACAGAAAATGTGACAATATCTTATCTCTCAATTTGATAATCTAATTTATAATCTCATGAATTGCACTTTTTATTAGTAAAAGAATTATAGATTAAAAAATTTCAATTTCTTTTGGATAGGTGTGACTCATCTGAAGACTGAATTTTGATACCAAGCATGACCATGATTTGCCAGAAGATCATCTGTTTGGATGTGACATGGAATAAACAGCATAGTGAAAATAAGTCAAGTTTTGGTTTGTGAAGACAATTTTTAAACACACTGTGTATCATTTTTAAATTTTGATTTGACAACATAAATCCACAAATATGAACATATCAATTGCTCTCAGTTTTTCAAGTGAAATAGTTTTTGTAACAGAAATACATGTACCAGTAATTACATTGGAATAAATGTTATTTTTAAATATAATAATATTTTGTTTGTGTAGCATGTTGACCTCTTTATTAAGGTCTTCCCTTTCAAAGTTTAGACTTACTTATTCTAATGATTAAGATAGATCCTCTGTCTTCAGCAGGAATAGAAGATCTTGTAATACATGTATGTGTACTGTAAAAGTGGAAATTTTGACGATGTGCTAATTTTGACTATAATTACGATTTTTCTTTTTTCGTCAAAATTTACACTCGTCAAACTTCACATCATATATATATATAGCGTCACAACAGACATTGACCATTGTACAACTTTACCGCTAAATTTTCACGGCTTTTTCCTTTTACAACTAGATCAAATTCACTGTTAATTTCTTTCGTAATTAGTTATGAAAACATAGTGATATATAATCACATTTTTAAAAATCATTGAATCTAAATTAATGTATCAAATACTGCATGCGTAACTTAGCGTAATTAACACACCAAGCTTGACCTAGTTTGTAACCTCAGGCAATTGACCGCTTATAATGAAATCAAATTACAAGAGGGCAATTTATTTAATCAAATCTTACACACGTAGATAGTTTGTACAAAAATTTAATTTTTGTGATTCCGACGCTGCCTTTGTATCCCCGTGAATTCAAAGATTTGAAACTCTTGCTTTAATATTTCGTCAAAATTAACACTCGTCAATTTTCGTAAACACAAAATCGTCAATTTTTCAACTCGTCAATATAACCACGTTTACAGTATTTTTTACAGTATAATGTAAAAAAAATTGTTATTTTGGCACATACAACTAATTAAAGGCATAAACATGTGTATGATTCCAAGGAATTCAGTACATAGGGCATGTACATGTAGTTTTCTAAAACAAGATTGAAGAGATGTCCAGTCGCATTTCAATGTCAACTCCAAAACTGTGCCTGTTGCATATTTATTAGCCCATCTGAGCTAAAGGAACCAGTAAATTTTTTAAAAACATAATTTTATCCATTATCATCATTGTCTAAAATTTCACAATATCATTTTCCAGAAGCAAAGTGAAACTTGGCACAGAGCATCCTTAGTATAGGGGATTCAAATTGTTCTTATGCAGGGCAATACCTTCAAAGAGATTTGTTTCTTTAATGCTGTAAATGTATTATATTTAGCTTGTACAATATTTGGTGGAAATTGACTTTTGAATAAGTTAGCGTAGATATTCTTATTTATGTTTATGTACAAGACTTTTAGCTTTGTACTTGATTTAGTGATTGCTGCATTCCGCCAAAGAGACTTAAAAAGAATACACAGCCATATGTAATATGTTTACAATATACCTTTCAGAGAATTTTACACTCCTATTGAGGTACCACCAGTTGCTAGTGGAAAGCTGCAAATTCGAAACATACACAACACATTTCTGTGCGTTTATTATAAAAGTATTGTTCTACTTACTGATTGCAACTAATGAAGATTGTTCATCATTATTGTAAATACATTTGGATTTTTTGAATTATTATAGAATTTGTTTATTTTATTTACCTAGTTATATTGTATATTAAATGATTTTAAAGCCATTTTTAAGATGGTAATGTAGCAAAACACTTATGTTTCTGTAGTATGACACGTTTCACAAACATGATATATCCGATATCAAAAGTCATAATATTGGAAGTTAAACTGTTGTGGATACGATTTCAAGAATGCTGTTAGAGAGAGTACCCTTTAGACCTCATGCTCACACCAAATTAAAGAATTCAAGTAAGGGTTTCTGAGACAAATCGAAAAAGAGAATGTTAGCAAAGTTGACAATCTAGACAGAAACATTTAATCTTTTGCTTATCGCTAGGAAGGAAGACCCACTCGTTGCTTTGCAACGAGCTTTGCTCTAGTTATTATTATTTTTTTTTCTTATTTGTTCTCCGGTACTTTTTTGTCCGCGAGTGTTCTCAGAAACTGTTCACCCAACTGAGCTAAAACCTTTTTAGGGTTAATAGGTGTGTAGTGTAGGTGTGCGGAACGAAGGTCATTTTGCGCGCATACGCCTGCACGTGCGTGCGCGTGAAATGAGTGAATTGACTGATATAATTAATATAGCTATAACTTTTACATTTTTTGATGAAATGCTTTGAAACTCATAACATAAGGATATATTAATAGCGTTAATACATGTAATATGACACTGTCAAATTAGCATGAGTTCACGCGTATGCACGTGCGCCTTGCTCTGATTGGCTGAAACAAAAGTCTCAATATCTCTTTTGTTTTTTGACGAAATGCTTTGAAATTTTTAACATTGTCATGAATTAAGATATCCTACAATATAGGATGAAGAAAAATTCATGAAATCACGCGCATGCACGTGCGCTGCAATCTGATTGGCTGAAACTTTAAATGGCTATATCTCCTTTATTTTTTGATGAAATGCTTTGAAATTTAAAACATAGTCATGCATTAGGATATCCTGCAATATGATATACAAAAATTTTCAAGAAATCACGCGCATGCACGTGTGCTGCAATCTGATTGGCTGTAACTTTAAATAACCATATCTTATTTGATTTTTGACGAAATGCTTTGAAATTTAAAACATAGTTATGCATTAGGATATTCTACAATATGATTTAGGAAAGAATTCTTGAAATCACGTGGATGCACGTGTACTGCAATCTAATTGGCTGAAACTTGAAATGGCTATAATTCCCTTGGTTTTCAACCAAACAGGATGGGATTTAGAACATAGATAGATATAAGGGCCTCCTACAAAAAGGTATGGTCTTCATGCACGTGCACGCACGTGCGTGCATTTGGAACGAGTGAAATTGAAAATACACTTGAATGAGTGATTTTTAATACTTTTGAACTAAATGCTTTCACATAAAGTATATTTTGATATATAGAAAGTGTAGACAAGATTATATGATCATTATGCTCGTGCATTCACATGGGCACGCGTATAATGTTAAAATTTGAATATAATTGGTATCCTTTTGGGAAAACGTTGTTAAAGTCAAAAATACAGAGATGTTGTCTTATTTAATAAGACTTACAGGGAATATGGCACCAAAAGGGAGGTGGGGAGCGTTTGGGGAACATCTGTAAGGGTTCCCGTTACAATTAGCACTAGTTTTTTTTAAGTTTCTGTCATCAACCAGCTCGACTGTTAAATCTACATTGGATAACGAATCAATTTAGGCTTTACATACATCATGTACATTATAATCATTAGTAATATATAATTGGAATTCATAAAATTTTTTTTAGTTTCTAATTAGAAAAAAAAGAAGTTCTAAAATCAATAAAACTAAATTTTCATCCTGCAAGGTGCAGTCAGGCAATATTGATCTTATTCTGACAATATCACTTTTTTTCATTGAAATAGATCTACATGTATGTCAAACATGATATTTCTTTTCCTTATGATACTTAAACTTTCTAACTATAAACTAAATTATTGTAAGAAGACATTTATTTTTACAGAAAGCATCTATATGCATTATCAGGTCAAGGTCAGTCAATCCCTTTTGATGAGTTTTTTTTTTTATTTTTGTCCCCCACCTTAGCGAATATGAGAGGACATTAAATCTTATTCATCTGTCATCAATGTCACAAAAACTTAAACTTGGAACCCCATTCTGTATGCGATATTCGCTAATAAAATCGATGTATAAAATTATTACAATACCAGCATATTCAAAGGAATATAAGGATTGCAATACAATCCTCCAAGAAAACCCTATTGTGTCATTAAACACATTAAAAATCTGAGTAATATGCTCCTCTCCTAACTAATTTAATAATCTGTATAACAGATGTGCAAATAGGCTCCTGATGATGGCGGATTTGCACCTAATTAATATACTATCAAAATCTTAAACCTCGTATATATCACACCGCCGAAACACTAGATTAGTGTCGAGTCAAGTGATTTGAGCTACGTGGCTGATGAGAGTCACTTTCTTTGAAAGTGCCCGAGAAGACTTGTTTTCAATAAAGACGCTGTTTAAAAGTTTAAATGAGTTTATTGTGAGATTAGATTAATTTAATAAATAATAAAAGTACATCCCTGAAAAACTCTTGGTTGGTAAGTTGAATTATCCAATTTAATTAATACTCTAGCGCAGCTTACGCTTTGTAATACTGGTTATGAATAAAAGAAAAAGGGGGGGGGGGTATATCGACTGGCATCCAACGTATAGGGTTATAGATAAACTTTAATAACTGTAACTTTGTAAATAAGTGTTTGGTGTCTGTATAACTGTTGCCCAAACTTACATTCTGCTATTCCGCTTTATGTAATAACTGCTCTTTCTATCTGACTGCTCTCTCTATTTATCTGACTGCTCTCTCTATCTATCTGATATCTAACTGTAACTGCTCTGACTCCGTAACGCCTGCTTATATACTCTTTTGAGTCACCAATGTAAATAATGACGTAGTGCGCAAGTTGACGTCACCACGTTTGGTGACTTTACCAAATCCCCATAACCGGAAGTTTGTAGTTACCAATGTTTACAAAGTGTATGGAGAAGTAATTTTAGGGGAAAATATGGATTTACACGGGATGCCAGCGATGTTTAACAACAAAATTAAATATGAAAAGAACCCAGTTATCGTATACAGGTATGATCTGTTTACAGAATTGAGATAGCGCTATTTTATTGAGGTTTTCATAATCACCAAATCAACAACACGTGCACAAATGCCGTTACCTATAATCACCAACGGTCACCAACGATCTCCAATCATCCTTGTTATAAGGTTAAATTGTATTTAATACAATTTAATTAAGTATGTAATCTCTGAATTATCAGCAACATCAGCATACAAAATAAAACCAATAGCGCATACTCTGTAAACAGTATTTACAAGTGCTCCAAAGGGAAGTAATAAATAAAAACGATAACTCAAAGGCTTATACATTACAGGAAAATAGAAATTTCACATCTTATATATCACTGCAGTTGTTAAGATCCACCCTTGTGAGTACCCAATAAAAGTACATGCAGGGATTAATTATTGAACTCATTCGCACAGACCTAATGTTATAGAATCCATAAATAAGCTGAACTTGAACTTGATTAACCTTAAACAGGCACAATGTGACATACTCTACTGATACATGGGACACCCTGGCAGATATTCCTCCTCCCTTGAGTGTTGAGTTAGACTAAGACAGAAAACTAAAAAAAAGGTACATTAATTTTTGACCATGTGAATTCCCTAGTAATATCTACCACATAGAGCTTGATTCCGTTTTGCAAGAAATAACCCCCAAATTCATAGCATGCTAATACTTACGTTATGGAATAATTCACACACGCCAAATCAATCAGACTGATTTAAATACTTGCGTGAATTAATCCTTGTTAAAATAAAGTTCTTAATTCCATCATTGGGCCTATACATCCAGACAGGTGGTTTTCTTCATTTCCGTTCTTCTGTAGACTAGTGTGATGACTAAAATGGGTAGCGAAACTCGGGCCGGGCCGCCGGGAATTTCGAAACTGAAAACCGGGTTTTTGACAATAACGGAATGAATACACATTCTTCCTTCGTGAAATTTACGGACATAGCTTATTACTATAAGATTTGCCTTCACTGAAAGTTTTAAATTAAAATGTTGTGTTTATCCATCATTATCGCCGATTGTCCTTTTCAAGGTGACTATAAAATGGGTAGCGAGCCCGGTTTACTCATTTTAGCGATTTACACTTAATTTCGGTAATATATTTAAACAATAAAATGCTTTCTTTGTTTGTTGTTACTGGAATGAACGGAAGCAGCTGTTGCAGAAAAAATACATAACCCGCGTAAGCGGGTTGTGTAAATTTTTTCTGCAATAGCTGCGACCGTTCATTCCAGTAACAACAAACAAAGAAAGACATTTTATTGTTTATATTTATATCTGTTTAAATTATCATTTTGTAGGATTAAAAATATTAATTATTGTGTTAATGATGCAAACGTCTTTGTACGTTCCATTGATGGAACGGCCACTGATCAAAAAATCTGTACAGGTGATATGCCTAATGTAGTTTATGCAGGGATGAACGCAATGGGTTTTCTTAAGAAATAAAGAAGAAAATATTCAGTGGATGTAAATATTTTCAATTATTTCCGTTAGATCTTTGTAATTCAACTTAAACTATTTAAAACATCTTATATTTGTTGTAATATATACAGATTATTAATTAAGCTAAGCGTTTACTAAAGTGTCGAATACATGATAACCCACCTGCAGTAGATTTATATTTTTTTCATTGTTGACTTTTCTAATCTTTACATTCATTCATTCATTCATTCATTCAGGTGAGCTAAAACACACTAAACCTTGCATCACTTCACTGATCTTTATATTTTTTATGCTTCACAATTTCACGACAACTCTGTTTGCTGATAAATGAGTAATGAAATCAATACCAATGTGTAGGTGAAATTTAGTATTAAAAATGCTTAAATAAGAAAAAAATAATACACATACATGTACCATGATAGGGGATCAGACCAAAAAGTATGAACACAATACATATCAATATGCTAATCCCCTCAATTTAAAACAAAATGTGCAAAAAATAAAAACACTCGAGATGTGATTGCCAAACATAGTTATAATGATACCGTGATAATTTGATCGATGATACATGTAAAGTGATATCAATATATTTATGACCACTGAAAATTTTCTTCTTTAATTCTTGTGGTGCACTGGTTAGAGCGCCTGCTCAAGGGTGGCGAAGTAAAGAGTTGATCCGTACGTCGCGTGTTCGAATACCAAAGGAGGACGTGGAGACCGGTCCTTCAGATGAGACTGTGTAAACCGAGGTCCCGTGCTGCATTTGGTGCTGGCACAAAAAAATTTCTCCCTGCTCAATGACCCTGAGTGCCGAGTATAGGACAAATTTTGCAGCTTTCCACCGACAATTGGTGGCATCTCCATATGAGTGAAAAATTCTCGAGAGGGACGTTAAACAATATACAATCAATCAAACATTCTTTATTTCTTAAGAAAACCATTGCCGAATATCAGGTCATGAAGAACATCAGGCATATCATCTGTACAAATTATTTGATCAGTGACTGTTCCATCAATGAAGTCGCCCGCGTGGCGCAGTGGTTAGAGCGTCTGTTCTAGAGTCGCGAAGTAAGAAGTTCATCCTTACGTCGTGGGTTCGAATCCTACTGCGGGACGTGGAGACCGGTCCTTCGGATGAGACCATATAAACCGAGGCCCCGTGTCGCAGTAGGTGCTGGCACGATAAAGATCCCTCACTGCTCAAAGGCCCTGAGTGCCGAGTAAAGGACAAAATTTGTAGCCCTCCACCGGCAAGTGGTGGCGTCTCCATATGAGTGAAAAATTCTCGAGAGGGACGTTAAAACAACATACAATCCATCAATGAAAAGTCCTATGGCGTACGTATTAATAATACAATAATTAATCTTTTTAATTCTACTTAAAATAAGTTTTTATACAGATATAAATATAAACAAGAAATTTCTTTCATTGGTTGATATTACAGAAATTAGCATCGCATGCAGCTATATAATTGCAGAAAAAATTACATAGTCCGCTTACGTGGGTTATGTATTTTTTTCTGCAACAGCTGCGACATAACTTTCCTTTCTAACAACCAATGAAAGCCTTTTTTTAAAAAAAATCCAATATTTACACTTCCAACTGCTTTTTCTGTGATGACTATTTGAAAGTTATTGTGCTAATTTCTCAATAATTACAACTGAAAGACCAAGTATCTATTATGCACCTCTCTCTCCCTCTCCCTTTCAGCTGTCTTTTGTCTGACTTCAAAGACAGTTTTATACGTGAGATAATTCAAACATAATGGGCTGAAAAATATATTAATAACTAAAAATGTGATGCATAGATTGGTCTATATTTTTGACTGATTTTGAATAGAAATTACATAATAATAAATAACAAAACTATATGTCTAAATGGTTCAATCCATTCGTATCGCGCTCTTTATCATAAGCTAGATAAGTCTTTGTTGACCATGTGTCAGATCTAGACTCCTTATAGCTTAAGTAAAAGATGCTCAACCTTTGATTCTACAATAGAACAGATGTAAAAAGATTTGTATTTTCTCAATTCTGCAAAACACAGAGGTGTATTCACTCTTTATTGTAATATTTCATAAAAATATAAATTACCTGATAAATGAAGAAGCCGGGTGTTACCGTGGCAACACCACAGAAAACTAAACCTAATGCAGACGAGAATAGATCGACAATAAGCGCTCGGGCCATCCTTCTCCCACAAAAGAATCTAAAAATTAAGACTAGATTGAGAAGCGACATCTTACATGTACATGTATATCCTGAAACTTTACAACATAGATGGAGTGTAATTGCCCATACCCCTCTCTCTAACATACAAAGTATGTCCAAAGCTGACCAGCTTTATTGAAAGCCTTTGGGGACCCCAACGTCACGTTCTATTTACAGTGTATTTCATTACATAAGTTTTAAAATCTCCACCTTTTATGCTGCTATACAGCAGGCTACTCTGTACACATAGAAAATTTTATTTACTGTGCTAGCAAATATGATTTTCTTTCCATTTTTTTCATGCAAATTATTCAGATGGGATGTCAACATTACCGCTAAATCTCCAAACATTTAGACTCATTTCGATTACATTATTTTTAAATTCAAATATTCGACCGATCATTACTGCACATTTATATGGTCGAAAACAATTCGTTACCGCTGCAAATTGAATCCGCCTTAAAGAACTCTATACCGCTACATATTGAACCAGCCAGTTATGGTACGGAAAAGAGTTTCAATCACAAAAGCTTTCACAAAGAATTTTTGCTATCCATTTTTGTCTGTAGTCGTGCGTGATAAGTCGGTTGTTAATTTCTGAACATTTTCAACTTCATGTCTTGAATCACTTATTTATTAAAAAAACCAACCAAATTTGGCATATATGTAAAGCATTTATAGGAGAAGGATATAAAAATTGTAAATTCTATGGTACACCCCCCCCCAGGTTATGAGACTAAAACAATCGAAATTAGTCTTACATGTATCCTTAGGATTTTTTTTTATCTCCTGTTAACCAAGCAGTGAAACTGTTGGCTTGATTAGAATTTCAATAAAGTGTAAGTTCACCGCCAAAGTGTGAGTTGTGAAAATCATGGCCCCAAAAGAAACATAATAATACATTGAAATGTATAATTAAAAAAAATATCATTTTCTTAGTTGAATAAAAATAATTTTCACAAGTAAACCATGTACTTAGTAACGGTATCTTTATCTCTCATCGCTTGTATATTTATTCTTTATATAGCTGTATTTTGGGTTGTTTTATTGTAATACATGTATTTGGATGACATTTTTTCATAATATAGTCTCGTTTCAATGATGAAATATAACTACAAGTAACAGTATTTCATAAAAAACATGTGCCTAACATGAAAAATGCTATTATAGTTAAAAAACATTTGTTTAGGATGATATATTAGTTTAGATACCATATAAACACATAAATACCTGCACTCCTCTACAGCTTTGGGTATGTCAGTCAAATAAAAAAATAACCGTCACCTCGTGACATGTAACTATGTCAGTCAGGTGATTTAAACCAGTATTTCGTAACTCCTCTGTAAATTAGCTGAATTGGTCAGACGGTTCATAAATATTTGGATTCCGTATATTGATTACCAGTAAAACTTGATTTACATATGACAGTTGAAACAAAAGGGCTCACAGGCCTGTTCAACAAAATGTCCTCAATAAAAGAACGTACACAATTTTTTTTCAACACAGCAATTATACCACAGTTGTTATTTTTTTTGTTCCATTCAAAACGGATCCTACTTCCTGGTGTATGATGTTACGCTCTATATATCATAAACTTTAGCAAAATTGTTTAAAGACTGTTTAAAAAGAGTCAGTGCAGAGCGTAATTCCAATGAACAAGAGCATGTTTTAAAAATATCTAAAGAAAACATTTCTGTAATATTAGTAGGTCGAAGGCGCGGATGCAGGGATTTTTTTTCAAAGGAGGTTAGGGTCCCTGTATATATACTATTTGGATAATGTTTACAAGTTAAAAAACTAACAAAAAAAATCATCGCAAACAGTAAACGTCTTTCCCAAAGGTGAAAACCTTGTTTAGTTTGGATAGGGGTGTAGGGGAGTAACTTTCCCATTCATTTCTAATGCTTCTGTATGCAGGTGATGTAGGTATATTGCTGCACCAGTCAGGGAAGTTGACGATCGTAAATTTAAAGTCATCAGGTTTATCCTAAAGATTACCATTAACGTCATTTCAAGTAAAATATCCAGATATGAAACAGATGTGTGAAAATAACCTAGCTTAGGCCAAGAAGTTGATTTCGCCAAAAATTAACACCATTTATAAAGGAATCCATAAGACAAAAACTTAATCATAATAGTTTTAATGCTTTAACTCATATAAGCTGAGGAGGAGGCAATTATGAAAGTTAGACTCAAAAGAATTAATACATGTACATGTCAATGTCACCTCCATTCAGTCTTAATGGAGGTTCTCTAAGACAGAATACTAGTAGTTCCACTTGCTTTTCTTTGTCTGTCCATTTTCTCTTGAACATATTTCATTAAGATATGGACAAAAGCCTTAAACAGTTTTTGTCGCTCTAATTTTTTAAGAAAATCATAGCGTATTCTACTGTAATGAAAAATGGGCTTCTTCTAATACTTAAGTGTCTCTTTCTGTAGAATTTTGTATATTCTCCCAGCTGAGCTCAGTTAATTGTAGATGGGTAACAGTCACCTGCAAAGAAACAAAAAAATAGTTTTCAGAAGAGTGGTAAATAAAAGAGGTTTTACAATTATTACTGGCAAAAACTTAACATTTAACTTTGCTATGCATGTTTTAACATTGCTGTTTAATACGATTTTGAAACATTATGATTGTAACTACAGAAGCCCTATAATAAGTTACAGTTCACAAGTAATCATCAGAAAATGTCCTGACCAGTCTGGGTCCATGAACCACCATTTTCAGTATTGAGGGAGCTTTCAATGCAGCATCAAATTTACTTGTATTTATTGTTAATTAAAGTTTATTTCATTGCACATAATTAAAATTAAATGACATTTACTTTGTTTGAAAATTAGGGATATATATTCTGATGACATGAGATTTTAAACCCCTGTTATATTTAGCTGTTCTTCATCGGATTTGAATAAAAAAAGGATTTTCCCCGTCTTCATCTCCATGGAGATATTTGGGGCCAACATCGTTGATGTAATTTTATGAAAGTTGAACCAATTCAAAATTAAATATTAATAACAAGCATTGATCTATTGTACATGTTCTAGTGTAGATTAGTTTCGATTATTTTCACTGTACGAATTCATTATTATAGTCTGTCCCACCAAGTTACTGTAAGCACTTTTCGCAAAAAATCTTAAAATATATAAATACCTTGGCTTTCAACCCAGTTCCGATCGATAGATCATTTTTTTTCCAACCTTCCTCCGTTTATCCGAACCCTCGAGGTCAACCAGTGTATACACACGGCGGCAAATTCAAAGTCTACGGAGGTTTAACATTGTCAAAATGGCCACCACTTCGGAAGGGGATCATCCATTGTTCGTAATTTTCCGTACGTCGTCGTCAGTAAGGAAATGACGTCACACACGTTCGGGAGTGCTCTATGGTTATCGACGTCTGAAAAAGCTATAACGCCCGAGACTTCCAAGTATAGATTTATACTACAAGAAGTATTACTTCTTCAACAAAACTTTCATACCCAGACTTAGACCCAAGGGACCAAAGATTCATAAAAGGGTTAGTCACTGCATAAAGGCAAAGAGGTATGACTCAATTCATACATAACATTTCAATAGAATAATCGAGGCTAGGCTACTGCAAATTTAGCTCAAGTAAAATTAGTTTTATAAT